CATGTGGACCCAAGAAAAATCATGGTTTGGGGTTACATTCAGTATGGGGGCGTGTGAGAGATCTGCAGATTGGATGGCAACATCAACAGGCTGAGCTATCAAGACTTTTGTGCTGCCCATTACATTACAAACCACAGCAGAGGCCAAATTGTCCAGCAGGATAGCGCTCCTTCTCATACTTCAGTCTCCACATCAAAGTTCCTGAAAGCAAAGAAGGTCAAGGTGCTCCAGGATTGGCCAGCCCAGTCACCAGACATGAACGTTATTGAGCATGCCTGGGGCAAGATGGAGGAGGAGGCATTGAAGATGAATCCAAAGAATCTTGATGAACTCTGGGAGTCCTGCAAGAACACTTTCATTGTCATTCCAGATGACTTTACTAATAAGTGATTTGAGTCATTGCAGAGATGTATGGATGCAGTCCTCTAAGCTCATGGGAGTCAGACACAATATTCATTATTTTTCCACTGAAGCATGACTATATTCTATACTGGACATTATTTCTGTTCAGTGACAAGACTTTTGTCTAAGCAAAGTCAGACTTTACTGTCCTAATTAAATAATTATAAATCAAGGCATGATCATATTTTATTTTGGTAAAATAAGCGTAATCTAGAGACTTTTGCCTTTCATATAAGCCACTTATACTAAATGATCAACTAGAAGTCAAAAAGAATAAGCAACAAGACTTTGTCAGGTCGTGTAGACTATATAGACTCTTTTAAGACTAATATAGTCTTGTGCTCCTGGAAATATCATAAAGTCTTGCATGTCAAATCATTTCTCTTACTTTTCTCATCCTAAACCCTAATTAGTAGAATCATTGCATCTTTACTTAAAGTGAAACTTGTAAATTTAACTGCTTCAAAAACTGAGACATTGCGTCTGACTACTGAGAAATTAAAGTTTTATTGAAACTCTCAGGGGCAGGGAAATATTTATGCTTTCCATTTTGCAATAAAAGGAAATGTCGGTAATTAAAACATTTAAATAGTTTGCCATTTTTAAAAAAATATATTTATATACCTAGCACAGTGATGAGCACTGTCACCTCACAGCAAGAAGGCTGCTATCAGCCAATTAGATTGAGAACCAGACATAACTATATATATATATATATTGAAGTCAGAATTATTAGACCCCATTTCAATTTTTTTCCTTTTTTTTAAATATTTCCCAAATGATGTTTAACAGAGCAAGTAAATTTTCACAGTATATCTAATAATATTTTTTTCTTCTGGAGAAAGTCTTATTTGTTTTATTTCAGCTAGAATAAAAGCAGTTTTTATTTTTTTAAACACCGTTTTATGTTCAATATTATTAGCCCCTTTAAGCATTATTTTTTCTGATAGTCTACAGAAGAAACCATTTTTATACATTGGTTTATAATTACCCTATTTACCCTAACCTGCCTAGTTAACCTAATTAACCTAGTTAAGCCTTTAAATGACACTTTAAGAAGTGTCTTGAAAAATATCTAGTCAAATATTATTAAGTGTCATCATGGCAAAGATAAAATAAATCAGCTATCATAAATAAGTTATTAAAACTATATAAAGCTGAAGTCAGTTTCAGCTGGGCCAGTTGGCATTGTTCTCCCTGTGTTGGTGTGGGTTTCCTCTGGGTGCTCTGGTTTCCCCCCCAGTCCAATCACATGCGCTACAAGTGAATTGAAGAAACTAAATTGGCAGTAGTGTATGTGTGGGTGTGTGAATGAGTGTGTATGGGTGTTTCCCAGTACTGAGTTGCAGCTGGAAGGGCATCGGCTGTGCAAAACATATGCTGGATAAGTTGTTGGTTCATTCCACTGTGGTGACCCCTGATGAATTAAGGGATTAAGCAGAAGGAAAGTAAATGAATAAATATCTATCACATTAATTGGCTTGATTCATTTATAGTAATGTGCAACTGTATAATCAAGACCTTCTTAGAACTTAGAATTCTACATCTTAGTTCATCAACCAATCAGAAATAAGCATTCAGTTTACGTTTTTTTTTTTTTTATTTGATATTTGCAGTTATGCTATAGATCAGTGGTCACCAAACTTGTTCCTGGAGGGCCGATGTCCAGCAGATTTTAGCTCCAACCCTAATTAAACACACCTGAACAAGCTAATCAAGGTCTTACTAGGTATACTTGAAACATCTAGGCAGGTGTGTTGAGGCAAGTTGGAACTAAACCCTGCAGGGACACCGGCCCTCCTGGACCGAGACTGGTGACCCCTGCTATAGAAGAATCATTTTAGGCTCCCAAAACAATCTTTCTTTTATAAAAAGTCCTTCATCTATTCAAAAAAGAGAGAATTTGATTGATCTAAAGGATCTTATAACACCATAAAGAATCCTCTTCTTTTTTTATGGAACATTCTATGGATTCTAAAGATTCTTTACGGAACCGTCCACCTTTTTGAATTAAAAATATCATAGAAATCTGACTTTGTTCCAAGGATGAGAGAAAGTCATCTGGGTTTTTCATTTTCAGCTGAATAGTCCATGCTGAGAGAAAACTGCTGAGAGACTGAGAGAAATTGTGATGGCGATAACAAATAAAAAGCCTCGCGTCTCAGAAATCGATGGTTTTTGTCAGGATCTTTTGTGCTCTGTGATCAGAGTAAATGTGGAGATGCCCATAGAGAATCGCTGGAGGATTGGACGCAGATTTCCCCCTGCCGCTCTCTGATTGGATAATTCCCCCTGCTGGCCCCTGATTGGATAATAGCCGTGTACTGCTCGAGCTCAAGCTCTGTTTGTTTAAAAATCACAGAGTTTAAGTTTGCCTTTGCTTCTCTTGTCCAAAAAAGCTTTTAGAGCAGGCTGCTTGAGCTCCCGAATTGTTTATGAGTTGGAAAATGAACAGTCGGCTCGGTTGTGTGAACATTGATTGGTTGCGAGTGTGTCCGAGTGTGTGTGTGTTCAGGTTTGCTTTGTTATTGTCCTTCATAGCTTCAGAGGAGATGTACTGTAATGCAGAATTGTAAATTACGTTGTGCCAGTAATATAACAGAATATTTATGAAAAACACCTGAACAACTAGAGCTGCACAATATATTGTTTGAGCATCGATATCGCAATGTGTGCATCAGTGTTGAGTTTATAGTTGACCAGAAACCACAGCTCAAAACACATGAGATTTGAGGAGACAAAAAAGACTAATTTTATTGAATTATTTATATGATTAAGTTATTTTACATTTGATTATTGCATTTCTGTACCTGAATACTGTAAGAAAACCATAGAGGACTGTTTATTTCACTTTAATATTTGCTCCATTGTGTTTTATTATATATTAATTGTCTATAGTCTACAGAACAAACAATCGTTATACAATGACTTGCCTAACTTCCCTAACCTGCATAGGTAACCTAATTAACCTAGTTAAGCCTTTAAATGTCACTTTAAGCTGTACAGAAGTGTCTTGAAATCCAGTAAAATATCTAGTCAAATATTATTTACTGTCATCATGGCAAAGATAAAATAAATCAGCAATTATAAATAAGTTATTAAAACTATATAATGTCGAAGTCAGAATTATCAATTAATAACCTCATGTGGAACTCTGAATCTGCATCTCATTTCGGAGTCTGCTTCTGTCCACCGGAGTTCGTATTTTGGTCACGGGCACATGCTTTTAGAGCCTTTCTGAATGAATACATGAAATATGCTGTTTTCCTCCAAGGCAACCCGGAGTGCTGAAATATAATTGGTTAAAGTGGCATTGGGCGGGTTAAAAGAACCAATAAAGACAGCCGCTCTGGCACGTAACGTACAATATCAAAGCAGAATACAGTTGAAGTCAGAATTATTAGCCCCCTGAATTATTAGCCCTCCTGTTTCTTTTTTTTCCCCAATGTCTGTTTAACGAAGAGAAGATTTTTTTTCAACACATTTCTAATAATAATAGTTTTAATAAATCATTTATAATTACTGATTTAATTTATCTTAGCTATGAAGACAATACATAATATTTGACTAGATATTTTTCAAGACACTTCTATACAGCTTAAAGTGACATTTAAAGGCTTAACTAGGTTAATTAGGTTAACTAGGCAGGTTAGGGTAATTAGGCAAGTTATTGTATAACAGTGGTTTGTTCTGTAGACTATTGAAAAAAAGGGTCTAATAATTTTGTCCTTAAAATGGTCCTTAAAATTTAAACACTGCTTTTATTGTAGCCCAAATAAAATAAAAAAGACTTTCTCCAGAAGAAAAAATATTATCAGACATACTGTAAAAATTTCTTTGCTCTGTTAAACATAATTTGGGAAATATTTAAAAAAAGAAAAATAAATTCAAAGGGGGCTAATAATTCTGAAAACTATATATATATATATATATATATATATATATATATATATATATATATATATATATATATATATATATATATATATATATTTATTTGAAAACACCTTTAGCAGCAGAAAAAAACACCATAAATCTGTATTTTTATATGTACATTTTTAAAAATATTTTAAAATATAGAATATGGAAGCCAATTAAAGTTGCAGAGACAATGAATAAAATCTTAAATACGCATGTGTGTCTGAGTGAGTGATTGAGTGAATATGTGTGCCGTGTGAGTGTGTGTTTCTATCCATCCCCCGTCTGATTTCTCCCGCTCTGATGTAGCGATGGCTCCACCATGTCATTTGTGTTTCTGTTTGATGTGTCCAGTGCTCATTTAACGCTTGCCAGACCCCCTGATCTCTCGCATCCGCTCCCGTTCCCCTCCGAGATCCCCCCACATCTCTCACACAATTATTATTTCATAATACCCTGCTTAATAATTCTGATTTGAAGTCCTTTTTTTAAGTAGACGGCGGAGAGTGTAAAAGACACGAAACGGGCGAGCAAGACACCCCCCCCCCCCCCTTTCCACACACTCCCCCCAAAGGCTATTAAATGAGCTGTAATCATCATAACTCTGGCCGAGTGCTGTAATCTGCATGACAACAGGACTGGCGGGTGTGTGTGTTTGACGTCTGCGTGTGTGTCTGCAGGTATAAGGCCTCAGATCATGAATGGCCCCATGCACCCCCGGCCGCTGGTGGCTCTGCTGGACGGGAGAGACTGTACTGTGGAGATGCCCATCCTAAAGGATTTGGCAACCGTGGCGTTTTGTGATGCACAGTCCACGCAGGAAATCCATGAGAAGGTTTGTTTTTGGCGTTAATAGCATATGAGGGGCTATTTTGGTAACATTTTAGAATACTGTTGATGTTGGTTAATGTGTTTACTTGCATGAAGAATACATTTTTTACAGTGTCTGTTAATGTTAGTGTAATGAAAATACAGTTGTTTATTGTTCACTCACGGTGCACTAACTAATGTTAACAAGCATGGATTTGGATATTAATAATGCATTAGTAAATGTTGAACTATGATTAATAAATGTATTTATTTTATTTATGTATTTATTTGGCTCGGATGTCACAATTACACTGGACAACCGAATGCTTTTGTTTTAAGTGTTTCAGCAGACTTGCTAATTCTCAACGTCTGTCCAAAGGAGGATTGACAAAATGAAAATATAATAATTTTATAAATATAATAATTGTTTTAAACACTTTTTGAGAACACTACTAAAAAATATTTATATTACTTTCTAATTTTAGGCTAACAGGTAAATCATTCCACTATTTGGCTCCCTTTACTGAGAAAACAGATTGACCAAATGAGGTCTTACACTTTGGCACTAGCAGTTAGCAGTTAGCCATTAGCAGTTGCTCGTGTGACTCTGTGAGAGGTCTGATGCCTACTGATTAGATCTGAAAACTGCATTGGAACATAATTATTTAAACATTTTAAAAACTTTTTAAGATAATTAAATTTAATAAAACTAAAATGTTAGGTTTACATTAAACATCGCAATAATGCCATCACAGAGGCTTTAAGTCCATCGTTGTGTTTAAATATCGAGTCAATAGGCTTCAAATTGATTGCTGTACAAGTATTGTTCTTCTTAGTAAATACATTAACTAAGTGTACTGTTTTGTACATGGTTGATACAGGGTTTTCATACAATTTGATTGATTCATTGATCAAATTATATTTGTTCAGAAATTCTCATTATTCAAAATGTGTCTTTTTTGTCTATATATGTTATATATTTATAATGTTGTATAAATATATAATTAGAATTCTATATATTTATAATTTTATATATTTAGATAAAATTTATCAACAGTAAATCTAATTAAAGTATTTGCCCTTTTCTGAAATATTAATTATTTTTCAAATCCAGGAGTTGACATTAACTTTTTTGATCACCAGCCACTGTGGCTAGGCAATTTCCAACATTACTAGCCATTCAGCATTTTCACTGGCCACAATTTTGTTGTTGGGAAATATATTTCATATGGATAAATTTGACTTTGGCATTCTAAAATTACTTGATTTATGTGTTATGTCTGCATGCCTTCATTAATTTAAGTTTTTTTGTGTGTGTGTGTGTTTGTCAATGAGCTTGAGCAAACGGGTTGTGGTTTCATAGTTTCGCATTGCAATTAGTTTTTATTTCACATGACTGTTTAGGGCTCAACACTAAAGATTTACCAATTTTGTCTCTGACCACACCAAACTTATTATTTCTTAGGGTTTTATTTCTTAGGCACACAGATTTTAAATAATGCGTCAAAGCAAGCAAAATATAACTGTATACACACTTTTTATTCGACAAAAATGTTCTTAAAAAACAATTGACATTTAAAATAATTATTGTCATCATGTATCTAAAACTAAGCACAGTAGTCTGTCCAGGCTAAAAGTCCCAGATCACCAATTAAAAATAGATAAATGGAGAGTCATACTCCTATTAAAGCAATGTTATTGTAAAGAATGATATTGTAAATTATTAATTAACCATATTAACAAAAATAGCTGTAAGCAAAAGGTTAACGTTTGGCCCTTTAATAATCTGTTCAAAACATGGTTAAAGCGAAAGCGGTAACCGCTGATGCTTACAAAAAATCTCGAAAGTAGCAGGACTGTGCATGCATGAGCTGATGCACCTGTTGCGTTTCCAGGCACGGTTGCTTTGTGCAAGAAAACGGGAGACGAGAGCTTTTAAACACTCATGCGCATCACTTCAGCTGTGATGCCTGACAGTGTCGTCAATGAGCGAGGATTACCTGTGTATCACCGTGCGCCTGATCATCCTCTCATTTGCTATTCATCTGCTTTCATTTGTTCGCATGAACATTTATCAGTCATGCTGCTACTTGATTCTAAGAGCACATTTGCATGCATGTTGACAAACGGTCTTAAACTAAAATTCTAATCTTTAGGGGCAAGGCAGCACTGGCAATTTAAAGATTATTGGTTATTGTTTTTTTGTTTTTTGATCGGCTACAAGGCAAACCACTGTAGTCCAATGACTTGCCTAGTTAGCATAATTACACTAGTTAAGCCTTTAAATGTCTCTTTAAGCTGAATACTAGTGTCTTGAAAAATATTCAGTCAGATATTATGTGCTGTCATCATGGCAGGAGAGAGAGAGAGAATGAATAAAGAAAGAAAAGGGAGGGAGAGAAAGAAAAACGAATGAATACGAGTGAAAGAAAGATTAAATGAACCAAAGAAAAACAAAGAAAGAGAACAAACAAGCGAAAGAAAGACATAACGAACGAAAGAAAAGGAACGAAAGAAAGGACAACGAACAAAACAAAGAGAACGAGAAAAAAGAAAGAACAAATAAAAATAGAGATCAAATAAAAGAGAGCAAGGAAAAAAAGAAACATGGAAGAACAAACAAACCATCAAAAAAAGAGAATGAAAGAGAAAGAGAATGAACAAGTGAAAGAAAATGTGAAAGAACAAGCAAAAGAAAGAGAACGAACGAAACAAAGAAAATGAACAAAAGAGAATGAACAAGAAAGAAAGAAAGAGAACGAACAAGTGAAAGAGACGGAATGAAAGAGAACAAATTAACAAAAGAAAGAGGGAAAAGCAAGAGAACAAACAAGCGAAGGAAAGACATAACGATTGAAAGAAAAGGAACAAAAGAAAGAATGAACAAAGAACAAGAAAGTAAGAACAAGAGAAAAATGAAAGAACAAAAAATAAAAAAGAGATCAAATAAAAAAAGAGAACGAGGGAAAAAAAGAGAGGAAGAACAAACAAACATAAACAAAAAAAGTATGACAGTAAAAGTTAAAGAACAAAAGAAAGAAAAAGAATGAAGGACAGAAAGAAAAAGAACGAACTAATGAAAGAGAGAGAATAAAAGAAAGAGAATGAATGGAGGAGAAGAAAGAGAACGAATGAACAAAAGAAAGAGAAAAAGAGCAAACAAGCGAAAAGTGAAAGACAATGAAAGAAAAAAGGAACAAAAGAAAGAAAGAGACGAGAGGAAAAAAAGAATGAATAAAAATAAAAAAGAGATCAAAAACGAGGGGAAAAAGAAAAAGATCAAACAGACAAAAAAGAGAATGAAAGAGAAAGTAAATAAGTGAAAGAAAGAGAAGAAACAAGCAAAATAAAGAGAAAGAACGAAACAGAAAATGAGCGAAAGAAAGAAAGAAAGAAAGAAAGAAAGAAAGAAAGAAAGAAAGAAAGAAAGAAAGAAAGAAAGAAAGAAAGAAAACAAACAGGTGAAAAAAAGACAGAATGAGAGAGAGCAAACAAAAAAAGAAAGAATGAACAAGTGAAAGAAAAAAATAAAGATAACAAGCAAAAAAAATAGAAGAAAGAGAACAAAAGAAAGAAAGAAGCATATATTTTTACAGAGACAGGCGTCATTCTTGTTTTATTGAGCCACATATCAGAGCCACTGATGCAGAAACTGTTGGACTATCAGCTCAAAATCAGGGTGTTTGCCTGTTCAGTTTATCCTTGTTTTATGGATGGTTCAGTCTAAATGAGGGCTTTGACTTTGTAGTGTTTGTAAAGCAAACATTTCTCAGTTCTCAAACTGAAAGGAAATGTACGGACATGGCAAACTCCTCAAGACAAATGCATTACACCCACATGCTCTACAGAGAAATGATGTGCGTGTCTGTGATGCTCATGATCATGTGTCTGCGTGTGCAGGTGTTGAACGAGGCGGTGGGTGCGATGATGTACCACACCATCACCCTGACCAGAGAAGACCTGGAAAAGTTCAAAGCCCTCCGGATTATCATCCGCATCGGCAGTGGATACGACAACATCGACATTAAAGCTGCCGGAGAGATGGGTGAGAGAGCCTGTTTATACTCACAATAGAGGCATTTGTACAATACAGTAAACATTTGAAAGAGTTTTGAAGAAGAAAAGATTTTCGCGATAATTGCAAGATGAAAAGGGTTTCTATGTTTGATATTAAATTCATTCGAGATGCACCAGTAGTATTTTGAATTTATATTATGTATATTGGTCAATTGCATATAGTATTATACACCCATCGGCCACTTTATTAGGTACACCTGTCCAACTGCTCGTTAACACAAGTTTCAAATCAGCCAATCACATGGCAGCAACTCAATGCATTTAGGCATGTAGTCGTGGTCTAGACGATCTGCTGCAGTTCAAACCGAGCCTCAGAATGGGGAAGAAAGGGGATTTAAGAGACTTTGAACGTGGCATGATTGTTGGTGCCAGACGGGCTGGTCTGAGTATTTCAGAAACTGCTGATCTACTGGGATTTTCACGTCCAACCATCTCTAGGGTTTACAGAGAATGGCTTGAAGAAGAGAAAATATTCAGTGAGCAACAGTTCTGTGGGTGCGAATGCCTTGTTGATGCCAGAGGTCAGATGAGAATGGCCAGACCGGTTCCAGCTGATAGAAAGGCAACAGTAACTCAAATAACCACTCGTTACAAATGAGGTCTGCAGAAGAGCATCTTTGACAGCACAACACGATCAACCTTGAGGCGGATGGGCTACAGCAGCAGGAGATCCCACCGGGCCACTCCTGTCAGCTAAGAACAGGAAACTGAGGCTACGATTCGCACAGGTTGTTAACCAAATCAGCCAGGAAAATAACTAAATGGTTTTCATTTCCCTCCAGTCTTAGTACACGATGTAACTACAAAATGTTCAAGGTTTAATTAGAAAAATGATCAAAACTTTTTGCAGAGAGGGAGAAATGCTGCTAATGGTCTAATCCAATTCAATGGTTTATGCTAAGCTAAGCTAATAGTGTTCCTACCAGACCCAGAGATCTGACTCTCTACAGAACAAACCACTGTTATATGCGGTACACTTATAGTGTGAGTGCAAAACGGGCCTGAGCCCAAAAGTGAAAGCGAGGCGTGACTTTTAAGGGACCGTTTGATATGGATTAATGAGTCATTCTTGCTGTTCAATGAACGCAAACTGTCATAGATTATTAAAGGCGCAAACTCCTCACTGCACCACACCTGCGCCTTCAGCAAACCTCCTAAATCCTGCAGCACACGAACTTTATGATTGTTTATATGCGTCAAAGGTGTATAAATAATAAATAAAAATATTTGACAGTGTGTCACGCATCCCCAACGACTAAAACAATATAACTAAAGCAATCTCCACTGTGCTGAGTGAGAGCGCTGAACGATGACGTAAAAGTGCCAAGGCCCGAATGTAATGTAAGTGTGGGCCGTCAGGGGAGACGGGAGTGGGGACAAGCGTGCTTTGGCCCGGTTCAAGGCAACTGTACATAGTGAGAGTACGCCTTTAAAGTGCAGTGAATAGAAGAGTAGAACAAATGGGTTTTTTTTTTTTGTTTTTTTTTTTACAATCCTATTTGCTGAAATAATAAAAGAAAAACTCCACCATGGTGTTATCAAGACTTGCAGAAAAAGGACAGACAGAAGAGAGAACAACGTCATAAATACTTAATTACCTGCTATATGTGTGAACCCAGCATAAAAGTGTCATTATCGCCACCTGTTGGTTCGGTCTGCCCTCAACATGCGTCACAGTGGGTCTTTGTGTTTTTGATGTGGACAGTTTCTTTTTATAAACGAAAGCAGGGAAGATCCTATTTATAAAAAATACAAGTGTACAAGCGTGGACATGGCCTGTTTGTTTTATTGTCAGAGACGTTTTAGACCAAAATAACAAATGGTTTTGTACTGTTTTGTACACATTAGACTCAGCTCTAACATTTTGTACACATTATATTTAGTTTTTTGCAAGTATGTAAAGATTTTGCTCTGAGAAAAGAAATTCTTGTTTATTACGTCTGAATCAGAGAATAGTTCCTAGCCATATCGACCAGGAAAATAGCCGTCAGTCTAAGTACACGATGTAACTACAGAATATTCAAGAATTAAATAGGAAAATTATCAGTACTCGCTCTTTTTTTTTTTTGCAGAGAGAGAGAGAGAGAGAGAGAGAGAGAGAGAGAGAGATAGAGAGAGAGATATGCTAATGGTCTAATCCGATTCAATGGTTTATGCTAAGCTAAGCTAATAGTGTTCCTGTCAGACCCAGAGATCAGAATGAATGAACTTAACAATGCTAAAACTCAACTATTTACTTGAAGGGATTAAATCGAATCCTGTTAGCATGAATCCTCTTGCTTGTGAGGAGTTCTGATGTGTGTGTGTGTTTCATGTGTTTTGTGTGCAGGTATTGCGGTGTGTAATATTCCGTCGGCTGCGGTGGAGGAGACGGCGGACTCGACGCTCTGCCACATCTTGAATCTCTACCGCAGGAACACGTGGCTGTATCAGGCCATGCGGGAAGGCACACGGGTGCAGAGCGTGGAGCAGATCAGAGAGGTGGCGTCAGGAGCCGCACGAATCAGAGGAGAGACGCTCGGACTCATCGGCTTCGGTCAGAAACAATCATACACACTGGACAATGGACTCTTTTCACATTTCCAGGTTTCTCAGTAGCAGAACTCAGGGTCATAATTGGCTAAACTTAGAGTGCGGTGAATAGGAGAGTACAACAAATCTTTTTTTTACAATCCTATTTGCTAAAATAGTAAAAGACAATCTCCACTATGGTGTTATCAAGATTTTCAGAAAATGGAAAAAAATGTGTGAGACTGATAACGGCAGCCAGAAGAGAGAACATGGTCAAATTTACTGTCCTGAACCCATAGACACTGCATTAGAAACACCTTGCATAAGCAGTAATTCATTTTTTTTTATTTGATGCAAAGATGAAATCTATGATGATGATCATATATATGCAAACTTGTTTTTAAAAATTACAATTAAAAACTTTCAAGGATTTTAGATGATGTTTAACATTAAAAGCATCATGTAAAAAGGGTCCATAATTTGCTTAAGTGTACTTACATGTAGTTAAAAAAAAATCTTTTTAAATGCTTCTCATTAATTGAAACAAATTAAAAGCATGAAACACATAAAAGGTTTACTGTGATGGCAACTTTAACTTAGACAACTCAAACCTAACTTATTATTTACAAAAATATTTTTATTATGAAAAATACTTACTGTTTGCCTTAGAAACTACTCGGTATCTACTGTGTCTACTAAACCTAAGCCAATTTAAGTACTAAAAAAATAAGAGAAAATATTCAGTGAGCAGTAGTTCTGTGGGTGCAAATGCCTTTTTGATGCCAGAGGTCAGAGGAGAAATACTTAAAATCTGGTAATGTTGTACAACTAATAATAACAACATTAATAACATTAATAATAATATAAATAATAATAATAATAATAAAAATAATAATAATATATGTGGTTAATGCTAATATTTATTTACTAAATTGCCCCCCCCCAAAAAAAAAAATAAAAATAAATAAAATATTTTAAATCTGGTAATGATGTACAACTGTTATTAATAGTAATGATGATAGTAATAATAATAATAATATGTGGTTAATGTTAAAAGTTATTAGTAATACTTACTAAAGTGAACCAAAAAAATTGAAATACTTAAGATCTGGTAATGTTGTACAACTAATAATAACAACATTAATAACAATAATAATAATAATAATAATAATAATAATATTATATGTGGTTAATGCTAATATTTATTTACTAAATTGCCCCCCCCCCCAAAAAAAAATATATATATTTTAAATCTGGTAATGATGTACAACTGTTATTAATAGTAATGATGATGATAATAATAATAATAATAATAATAATATGTGGTTAATGTTAAAAGTTATTAGTAATACTTACTAAAGTGAACCAAAAAAAAATGAAATACTTAAAATCTGGTAAATGTTGTACAACTAATAATAACAACATTAATAACAATAATATTAATAATAATAATAATATATGTGGTTAATGCTAATATTTATTTACTAAATTGCCCCCCCCCCCCCCAAAAAAAAAATAAATAAAATATTTTTAATCTGGTTATGATGTACAACTGTTATTAATAGTAATGATGATAGTAATAATAATATGTGGTTAATGTTAAAAGTTATTAGTAATACTTTCTAAAGTGAACCAAAAAAATTGAAATACTTAAAATCTGGTAATGTTGTACAACTAATAATAACAACATTAATAATAATAATAATAATAATAATATACAGTTAAAAACAGAATTATTAGTCCCCCTTTATTTTTTTTGAGAGAACTGAGAACTCTGATTCAGAAGTTTTGTTTTTTTTTAACACATTTCTAAACATAATAGTTTTAATAACTCATTTCTAATTACTGATTTATTTTGTCTTTGCCATGATGACTACATAATATTTTAATAGATATTTTTGAAGTTGAAGGCCTCGTGTGACAGGAAGTAAATAAATTCCTTTTTTTCTTTCTTGAAATCTTTGATCTGGTTGTTAACTTGCATGTCATTGAGAAATTAAACATGTATAACATTTAGAAAATTTCTCATTAAAGGAAAATGGGAACTATGAACTTTGACAACTGTACAGTAGTTGCCAGTGGGATTACCTGTATCTTAATATTGTAATGTAAAAAAATAATATGTTGAAAATGCATCCCTCTTAACAAGACTACAATAATTTCAATAATTTAAAAAACAAACTTTTGACTGATATAAAGATATGCAGAAATACTAATCAAATTATGCCACCAATTGTGTCGTCATGCAGTCCGGACGACATATAAATATTATATTTGTTTTCATATAACTTTTTAAGTTTGATTTTGTGCTCATATATGCCTCTAACTGTCTCCTGTAGGTCGATCGGGGCAGGCAGTGGCAGTTCGAGCGAAAGCGTTTGGCTTTAATGTGATCTTTTACGACCCGTATCTGCAAGACGGATTAGAGCGATCGCTGGGCGTGCAGAGAGTTTACACCTTACAGGACCTGCTGTACCAGAGCGACTGTGTGTCTCTGCACTGCAACCTGAACGAACACAACCATCACCTCATCAACGACTTCACCATCAAACAGGTAAATAATGCTGGCCACAGCGCCGTCTAGTGTCTGCAAAGACCCCTGCGCATCCTTAAAGGAATAGTTCACACAAAAGTTCTTGTGTTTGCAAATTTCCGTGCACATTTTTAAAGGGATAGTTCACCCAATAATATTCTACACCTAACATTAATATACAGTAATGTCCATTCTGTTCTTTACTATTATTCTTAAAAGGATAGTTCACCCAAAACTAGGGATGGGTATCGTTTGGGGTTATTTCATTACCTGTGCTAATTCAATATTTTTAAATGGTATCAGTGCCAAAACGGTGCCTGAACTAATACTTTTAAGCCACAAAATGATGGTGGATGACTCTAGAAAAATCTTTTATTTGACAAAATCTTTAAAAATTAATTTTAATAGAACAATATAATTAAAGATCAAAGTAAACATCAATTCATATTTTATATATTTGAATTAATTTAATATATTTCCTTTGATCATTTGTTGGTAATGTAAGATTTATTATGGTAATGCAATTTAAGATTTGCATTATGAAATTACATTAGCTTACTATTAGCCTGTGGAAAGGCTGTCATCAAAATACTGAACTCCTTTTTTCTAGGGTTGGGGCTTGTGACTATGTTTACATGGTTATCAGTAATCTAATGATTTCCTTAATCTGGATTAGACAATAATATGATCAAGGTGTTTACATGAGTTGCTTTTTGAATGTTTCTTTCATGATCCCGTCTTACATGTTATAGTACATAGATTGATTGACGTCATTGCGTCACCATGCTATGTTTCCTCCAGAGTTTCATATAATTCAGGTGTTTCATTTTTAATTTTTCGACTTAAACTGCAGTTTCACTTTCATTTAGCAACATTTTGTTCATGCCCCCATGACAAACAGGTATTTGATGCGAGCATTAGGTAAGGACTGGTGGAAGAGTGCTCTTTTAATGGAATTTGAAACAGCACGTTGAATGGAAACCAAAAACCTCCGCATTTCCCAACGAAGGTGTCTGTGTTCCTTTAAGGTTATCAAAAATCACTGTTTACATGGTAGTCTAGACCAGGGGTTTTCAAACGGTGGTCACATAGCTGCAGCTATATTTACATTGCGGTGAATCAAAACCAGTACGATTGATGGCAATAACTCAAAAACCTCTTACCCTAAAAATATCTAGTGTGTTTCCTACAAAAAGACAAAGCTGGTTATGTTCACAGCTGTCTTTCTTTTTTTTTTTTTTGCTCGACATTACAAGCACTGCTCCGTTTGAGCCCTCGCAATCTGCATTTAGCCGGCAGAGCTCGCGCAGAGTGGAGCTCTCAGTAAGGGACCGTCGGAAAAGTGCTTATTTTTTTTATTTATTTTTTTTCGTTTTTTTTGCTTTGTCCTCGGTGTTTTATTTGAAACACTACAAATTTTCTCTTAAATGAGCACAAACAGTTACTCAAGTAGTCTAATGCTTCATTATAGATCTGTGCATTCTTACATTAACACCTCTGTTATCAAACAAAACACAATGAGAGATTCATTTGCTGCTCTTCACTAAATATTTATAGTAACTTAAATCAATATGCAAATACAATAAAAGTGAAATAGATTTTATAGCTTTATTTAATTTCTGTATAGGGCATTGATTTTAACAGGCTAAACCTTTTATTTTAATGTCAATATTTTCTAATGTTTGCTGTGTATTCTATCATTTGAAGCTATTTGTTGTCCCATATTTTTTACAGCCCAACGTTGACAGATTGCTAATCAATAAATAGCTATAGTGCTATCTGTTAGTTTTAATGTCAGCTAATGTTATGGAAGGGCATAGATGTTATGGAAAATAGTAATAGTAATGAAACTACCCCATCATTCCTTCCTCAAGCAAATGTGTAAATATTAGATCTATTCAGCAATAACGTTAATTGCATTGGCATATTTATCTGACGTTTTCCCAGCTTGTAGTAGTCGATCAAACAGCTATTTCGTTTCTTATGACTACACTAGCAGTGGAATTTACTGCGATGTGACGGGGCTTGATCATAATCAAGGAGCTTGATCAAAGGTTGATCATATTCTCTTCTAAAAAAAAAAAGAAGAGTATCTTTTTCAACAAAAAAATCATCACAGTTGCAGCCAGCATCCCACAAAATGCACTTCAAACCTCATTTTGTGCATATCAAATCGCAAAATCCAAAAAGCCGCACACCATATATTTTTGACTGCTTTGAATGGATACATTTTTTTACCCATTTTTCCATATTAAAATAATATGGTGGGTCTTGAGATTGAATTACTTGCCTAGGTGTCTGAATAAAAAAGTTTGGGAATTCCTGGTCTAGACTCTAAATCAGAGCGTTGTCTAAAAAGCAGTGGTTCTCAAACTTTTTTTTATCAAGTACCATCTCAAAAAAAAATGTCTCTCCAAGTACCCACCATAATGACGAGGTAGATTAGTTAATGGAGTTTGTGTTAACCACACACAGAGACTAACTTTAATTATTCTAGCTTCAAGCATGGCAAAGTTGCTTGAGTCTATTTGTGTCCCGCGACACTTGAATCACATCCAGATTAATTAGCCTAAATCTAAGATAACAAATAACCGAAAGCCACTTTTGGTTAACAAAACAAACTTTACAAAACAAACGCTTTACAAAAAAAATAACATATCGAAACCATGCACTATTTTACACAACTACGAACACAGTTTTTAACACATTTGTGATCATTATTCTACCAATGATGCAGCATCGGGAGATTCCTGAGTTTGTAGTAACTGAAATGCCAACACAACAGTACTGGTCTGCAAAAGCGCTTCTCTAGAGCGTATCTGCTCCCAATCGCCGCTGCCGTACACCTTATTTTAAGCAGCTGATGACTAAAGTTAACATGCTGATCACATAATTCTATGCGTCAAAGGGTTAAAAGTGTATTTTCATCGCGTACCACTAGAAGGAAGCCCGCGTACAACTAGTGGTACACGTACTACAGTTTGAGAACCACTGGTCTAAATCATATTAAAATCGGAGCATTGGTGTGCCAGATGATGTCGTACGCTTTCAGAGACAGTGCATTCCTCTGCCTTTAAGTTGATTCCATGAGGCCTCAAATGTGTCATTACGTTTGACGTGTTTCCCCCCTCCACGCAACTTTTGTAAAGCATCTGCTTCACGTTGCTGTGTCTGAATCCTTGCTTGTAAAATACATTTCAGAACGCTGAGTTTAAGCAAATTTGATGAACGCAATCATGCATGTTGATCTGAAAAGAGTCGCTCTCTCTCTTTTTAGTCCCTCATTTATCAGGGGTCACCACAATGGAATGAACCACCAACTACTATAGCAAATGTTTTTATGCAGCGGATGCCCTTCCAGCTTCAACCCAGTACTGGGAAACATCCATACACTCTTATTCACACACACACACTTATACGCTACTGCCGATTCAGTTTATTTAATTCACCTATAGCGCATGTGTTTGGACTGTGGGGGAAACTGGATACCCCCAGAGGAAACACCCGCCAACACGGGGAGAACATGCAAACTCCACACAGAAAAGCCAGCTGGGACTCGATGTGTTACAAACTCGTCTTAGTGTTATTTAGGGATGCACCATATTGAACTTTATTTGTAGGAATTTTGTATAAATTTGCACAAAGTCAACAACAACTACAAAAACAAACAAACAAACAAACAAACAAACAAACATCCCCAAGGTTGTGGCTTTAACAGAAGAAGCAAATATCTAAGAGTCTGCAAACATCAAAATCCTCAAGCGTCATACAAATGCACACCAAGTGTATGTATAGGGTGTATACAGTGCTTATAAATCTGCCAGAGCACATTTTTATAATTAGCTAAAGATGTGCACTTGTTTCTGTAAAGGATTATGTTTAGGGCCAGAGGTAGGCCATAGACAATGTTGTTAACCTGATATAAAAACAATGTCTATTGTAAATCTAAAATTGGGTAACAGAACCTGTTTGTGTGTGGACAAGGCTCATGGTGTGTGATGTGTTTCAGATGCGACAGGGAGCGTTTCTCGTGAACACAGCTCGCGGTGGTCTGGTGGATGAGAAAGCTCTGGCTCAGGCTCTGAAAGAGGGCAGGATACGCGGCGCTGCCCTGGACGTTCATGAGTCTGAACCCTTCAGGTAACATATGGAATGACTTACTAATTACAAAGTTTTGCATTAATTCACAAAAAAATGAAAGTTTACTCACTTTACAGTATACTCTCCCTCACGTGGTTACAACCTTCATGACTTTCTTTCTTCTGTTGAATGTCGAACAAGATATTTTGAAGAAAGCCTGTGACCATTGGCATCCATAGTATTTGCATTTCCAACTACTGATTTTAGGTTTCTTCAAAATATCTTCTTTAAGCATAATATCTTGTGTTCAACAGTTTCTAGAAACTTATGTTTCAGGCAACTCATAAAGATATACAGCGCTCTAAACATCTCTCCAGTGTCACCTGACTTGCTTACTTTTAATTACATATGATGTGCAAAATTAGTACCACCGCATAACTTATTTTTAGTACATATTGTTTTAGCTGGGTAAATATGGCAAGAATATATAATATTAGTGCTGTCAATCAAGTAAAAAAAAATCACTAATCACACTTCTTTTGAAAATTAATAGCGATTAATCGCATTTAAAATACTGAAACTTGTAATTTTGGCTATTTAAATGTAAAATTAATGTAAACGCAAGACAAAAACTATTTCAATTCTAAATATAATTGTTTATTAGAATATTTGTTCAACTTGTAACACAGATTTCTTCATGTAAACAACATACCCACAATAAACCATCAAGATCCTGGCTTGACAGTCATATTTATACAGAAATTAAAACACAGGCATGTTAGTGCCATTTGAATTTCAAAACAATCAATGCCAATAAAAAAACATTGATTTCCATGTTGGATTCTAAGTGTTGCTGCTGACATTATCGGGGGACAATGTGGACCTTTTTTATTTGAATGATGTGAGCTGAGAGTGCAACGCAATCTCACAGCAATTCGTTACTTTTTGATTTAGTTTTTTATGTATCGAATTATTCGGACACATAAAATAATTAGTTTAGGCAGGTTTGTTGCTAAGAAACGTGCAACAAACCCACACACACAGAACGCTCGCAGGACAGGGCGGTCGGAGCGACTCCCTTCAGATTCAACACGCATGTTCGCATTCATCAAATTAGCTTTGTTAGATTTTGCTGTATTTGGCTTAACCGTTCTTGGGTGGCTCGCCAATGTATTAGATTACTCTAATACATAAAATAAGTAAGCTGACCAAAGTTCTTATGGAGAGAAGACTTTATTGAAGACAATCAATAGTGCAGTTCCTCAGCAGTGATGTTAACCCGTCGGTCTTCAAGTAACTTAACTCAAAGCACTGTCTGTGAGACAGTACTTTATATTAGCATCAAACAAACCATTCTGTTTACGAAGCTCAGCAGGACCCTCTTCTGATGTTTCAGCTGTTGTTTTGCTAATACCCATTGAGATTGTAAAAGGGTCATTTAGTTCACACCTATCAGTTTGTGGGGGTCGAGGCACAGGTCACCCCATCATATCACATCAGAGTTTAATCAATGTAAATGCAAGTGAACTAAAATGCACATAATCTTTCAGCTTAAACTAAGCGTTCTAAAGTCTGGCTGTATTTCACAAGGATTCTGACATAACAACGCAAACCAGATGCTTTACAAAAGTTGCGTTTAAAAGGGAAACACGTCAAACTTAATGAAACATTGGAGGGCGCATGCTGAAAGGCAGAGGAATGCGCTGTGATAGCTTGCAACTTCATCTGGCACTTTCTGAGTACATTTACATAAGACACTAATACTCCAATTTTATTAGGATTGAGATAATGCTCTTATTAAGAGTCTACCATGTAAACAGTTATTTTTGATTACCTTAAAGGACCACCGAGTCATGAAATGCGTAGGTTTTTCTTTCTGTTCGCCATGCGGTATTAAATTCCATTTAAACAGAAGTCGAAAGTTAAAAATGAAACACCCGAAATTGCATGAAACTCTGGAGGAAACACTGGAGAGCCTGGTGATGCGATATTAATTGTTTTATACTGCATGCATTAACGCACTAATTTTGACAGCACTAATAAATATATATTATTTTCCCAGATATATTTCTTCTGAATACTATATGCCAAGTATTTATTCTTCATTACTACAGCATATACTAGCATTTATGTTGTTTTTTCACTATCAGCATATTAAATTAGGGGCCAAGCGCAGAAGGTGTGTAGGCACCTATTGTATCTGGTCTGGTTATTATTATTCTTCTGCCTGCTTCTTCTTCTTCCTTTAGGGAAGTCTATGGCAGCCCTATGATCTGTTTGCTGATCTTCAACCACAACATATTTGGACTCTCTAACTCAAACTCTCTTGGCCACCACTTATCCAAAGTTTCACTTATGTTTATCTTTAGAACTTTTGAACCCAATGGACTAATCTTTGGTCCAATTTTCACCAAATTTGACTTGATTATCTTCAGACCATGTAGACCAAAAGTCTTGTAAACCAAAACTGTTGATGTATTGCTGCCAGATGACATTACAGGCTAAATCACTTCAATGGTTTGAAGAATTGAACCAAACTCAATGTGTGGGATCTAGGGTTGTAACGGTATGAATTTTTCACGGTATGATAATCGTCTAAAACAATACCACGGTTTGACGGTTTCGCGGTATACGGTATGTTACAAATGTTACAAAATAATAGAACAGTGAAGCAAATTTGACTTTTTCCAAATAATATATTTTTAGTTACTATAAACAACACCACTTACAATGAACAAATAAAAAAATAAGAAAATAATAAATAATGTGTCAAAGTCCAAATAAAGTCCAAATAAACATGGTGCAAATCCTCAGTAAAAAATAGATATAAATATTTACTATACTATAAATAGTTACATAACAAAACTAGATTCAATATGGAACATCCTTAGGTTTTATGTGCCAGCATGGATATGGTTGTCTGTGGATATGGATTTGGATGTGGTTGTATGCAATGCAGACAAACAGCTGCACCTTCATTTGCGTCTTTTGAAAACAGCAAGAGCAGCAGTTCGTCTTTGCTGTGTCACTATTTTGTCATGTTTCTGTGCTGCTGTGCATGCAAAAGTACTTAGTATGAGAATTATTTCATGCAAAACTTTTTTTTTTGCGTTTTATTTAGCCGCGCATAAATGTATGCCTTTCTCTCATTCCGTGTTGTTCAAAAAGCTTGGTCCACAAACAAAAGCGAAACCTACGCTTATTGGTGTGATATAGCGAGTTTGAACCAATCTGGGCATGGAGGAGGGACAATGCATCAATGTATCGTGTCTGGTTTGTCCGGAGACACAGTGACGAGCGTTTCTTTGTCAAATCAGCGTTGTCAAATGTTGATGACGTAACCGCACTGATTCCGGAGCCTCTGAAAGTCCGCGAATGTTATGTGATACAGCACTGGAAAGCTGAGATTCTCTTCTTTATGTCAATCTTGAATTGTATGAATTGGATCAGCGGATCAAAAGTTATTAAACATTTAAGAGCAATACTTATTTTTAGCCGCGGGCGGCTGTCTCGGTCTTTAAGGGTTAAAACCGTTGATATGCAATTGTTCATGGTATGATAATCGTGCACGTTCAAATCGTGGTAGACCGTCATACCGGTATATTGTTACAACCCTAGTGGGATCTAGACCTGACAACCAACCTACGTCAGTTTGCACCACCTTCTGGGTAAAATTGACAAACAATTAAATTCTATCAATAGAAATCATACAAATTTTATCAAAGGACTTTTCAATAGTTTTGTTTATTGTCATAAGACTGGTCTTGCAGATTCCTTGGATCATATACGGATAACATTGATATAATTTATTCTCTAATTGGCATGACTTCCAGTCCACCATCTTAAATTAGTTTGAAAATCTGCTGTTTTGAACTCTCCATAGATCGTTAGCCCAATTTCCACCAAATGTGGCTCAGACCATGCTTCCAAAAGCCTATAGAATTTTCCAGTTGCTCTGTAGCTTGTTGCTGTGCTAGTTTATGATGTGGCCGCTGGGCTGCTTGGCCCCGATAATAGCTGCTTGCAGCTACATTTATTATTAGAACTAGTACTATAATAAGAATAAAAAAAAAGTTTTTGACGTCAGTATTTATGCATTAAATTAGCATGGGTATTCAGCATCAATATTCAACTTGCATGAATTAAATTGATAAAACAATCTGAAGACTGTAGTAATGCTGTTGAAAATTCGTCTTTCGGATGAGATGTTAAATTGAGGTCCTGACTCTCTGTGGTCATTATAAATCCAATAGCACTTTTAGTAAAGAGTAGGGGTGTAATCCTGGTGTCCTGGCTAAATTCCCTCTATTAGCTCTTACCTATCATGGCCTCCAAATCATCCCCATTCACCGAATTGGCTGCATCTCGGTCTCTCCACTCCAGTAGTGGTGTGTGGTGAGCGCATTGGCGCTGTAGTCCTGTGGCTGCCGTCGCATCATCCAAGTGGATGCTGCACACTGGTGTTGGTGTGGAGAGACCCCCCTCATGATTGTGAAGCACTTTGGGTGTATGACCATACACGATAAATGCGCTATATAAATACACATTACATTACAAAATACTTTGTATCGCAGAAATAAAATATATGAAATTAGAAAACACTTATGTTAAATTGTAGTAATTTTATTGGTCCCATTTATATTAAGTGGCCTTAACTAATATGTACTTACACAGGAATGAGTAGTTTGTTCCAATGTACTTATTGTATAAATACATGTATTTACTGTGTACTTATGCTTGATTAAATACATGTATGTCATTACATCTGTTATTAACTTTTGTAATAACATTTGTAAATACACTGTTGACCACCCCTTACACCTTAAACCTTCCCTTAAACCTACCCATACCACCAAACCTGTCCATAACCAAACCTCTATTCCAACTCCAAAGCACCATGTGTTCTCAAATACATTATAAAAACAGTAAGTACATTGTATTTATTTTTTTATGTAAGTACATAGTACTTAAGGACACTTAATAAAAAGTGGGACCATTTTATTTTAGTAATTTATGCAATTTCTTCAAAGTATGTGTCATGATCATCCTGCAGTCTTATTCTGTCTGCCTCATGCTGTGTTTTTCTCTCAGTTTCACTCAGGGTCCTCTGAAGGACGCGCCCAATCTGATCTGCACCCCTCACACAGCCTGGTACAGTGAGCAGGCCTCACTAGAGATGAGAGAGGCAGCAGCCACCGAGATCCGCAGAGCCATCACCGGTACAACATCTCACTGCATTTATTACACACTGCTCACCTTGCATTACATATGTGTTTTGTTGATCCGATTACTGGAGAATGATGCTAAATACAGACTTAAATGGGTGTAAGCTAGTTCACTTCATCCATTCAATAATTTTCCTTTGGCTTAGTCCCTTATTTATAAGGGACCCAGAGCGGAATGAACCACCAACTATTCAAATCAAAACGCTCATGTTCTCTATCGCGTTTAGTGTTGGTCAAGTGTGGTAGCATCTTTTAATTAGGAAAAAAATATTTTATTTTATTATTTTTTTTTTTTATTTTGCTCTTTTATTGACAATCTTTTATTGACAAACTATTCCAGCATATGCTTTACACAGCAGATACCCTTCCAGCTGCAACACAGTACTGGAAACATGGTCTTTCGCATTCACATACTCTACAGCCAGTTTAGTTAATCCAATTCACCTACAGCACATGTGTTACGTCATTTTAGATGTTAATATTAAACTAGGAGTAGATGATATAACATACATTAGTTTAATGTGTGTGACAAGCGGATGGAGAAAGAAATAAACTGAATCAAATAATCACTGCAATTATTTATTGCCCATATATTCAATGAAAACCAGTGAAAATATATAATACAGTGAAAGAAAAATATTTACAATGATTAAATAATGAATTACCTGGGGGGAGAGAAAGTAGTTGAATGTGCTTAAATCAAAGAAATAAATATAACAAAACTCAGATAACTGTTTTCACCAAACTAAACTAAATATGAAAAGAAAAGCATGAAAAGAAACATCTTCAACGTACCAAACGTCTTAACTAAACTGCTCTAACTAAAAACAAAACATACAGAAAACAGCACATTCTCCTGAACCTAGTGAACTAATACAAAATAGCAATCTGAGTGTTGTATATGTAAATCGCGCGACTTACTCACTCCTACACCTCTCCGAGGCATCACTCAAACATGTCAGTTAACTGGACAATTTCACAAGCATTATTAAATCGCAAACTTTAGACAAGAGCATTAAACAAGCAAAACACATTCTCTCAGACTAGCCCTCGCAAGAGAGACTGTCCTCACAGAGACCCACAGAAAGAATAAGAGCGAGAAGGAAAGAGACAGAGAGAGAGAGAGATCGCCATTGCAGTTTGGGCTGGGCTTTTAAACGCTACGCCAACCAGCGATTGGTGGCGCAAACCCAGCGTCAGCGGCCAACGTCATCAGCACGAAATGCGGATCCTCCAATGCCGTTCGTACCTGTAACACATGCATGAAACGACACACCCACATACAAACGAACGCACACACTTATCCAAAATACGTTCTGCAAGGGAACGTTACAACATGTCTTTGGACAGTGGGAGAAACCAGAGCACAAGGAAAACATGCAAACTCCACACTGAAATCCCAACTGGCCCAGTCGGGACACGAACCAGCTGTGAGATGACAGTGCTAATCCCTGAGCCACTGTGCCACCCCATTGTACGATACAGTCATAGATATGAGTATGCGTCAATATCGTCGCCATATTTGTACAGTGCTCCCAGGACAAGTGTCATTCAACCGTACTAGCAGAGACAGTATTACTACGTGGAGGTGCTTTACGTTATCGCTGTCTACGAGTGTAGTAATGAGCAAACAAAGAAAACAAAGCACAAAGGCAGAACATGTCTTGTGAGGAATGAGATGCTGCGTTCTTCCTGAAGGTCACATGACCTTCACACGTTTTAAAATGATTTAAACATTACAGCATTCATACGACAGTTTATTGTTTTTCCCCTTTTCAAAATATATACTCTGCATAAAAACATTATAAATATACATTACACAATATAAATAAAACAGATTTTAATATGAATTTCAGCAAACAAACACCCTTAATGTGTTTATTCCTTTATTAAGATGTCCATGGGAATGTTTATATTCACCGTTTTATTTAGGGAAACTCCTGGGATAAATAAGTTCTATAAACTTTAATAATAAATCTAAATAAAATGCTGCGCTTCCCACCTCCAGTCACAATGACTTCTGGAGCGGTGCATCCTTGATATCAAGAACACATCCAGGAAGATTCACGCGTCCTCTGTTTTTGCGGTCTTGAGTATTGGAACTGAACTTTGGCAGCTGATGATGACGTTACACGAGAACACGAGGACGCAAGACCGCTGAAGAACGCATATTGAGAAACAGCCTAGAGTTACTTATCAGCAATGCAAAGTAACTCTTTTTTTTTCTTTTTTTTTTCTTGGGCATAAGTTGCACAATACATGAACATTCGCGCCTTTCAACGAGGGAAGAGTAGAGCTTATATTTCCAGTTTGCAAACGCCATCTTTGAACTTACTGAATTTACTTTCGTCGTCGATGGTGCTTCTGGATGTTGATGTGTGCGACTGACCGTCCATGTGCTTGTGTGTGACCCTACACTGCTCGCTGACCCCCTGATAATCAATGTATAATTTGCACCCTCAATAGGTACTCTTTAAAACATCATCTTTTGTGTTCAACAAAATGCAAACCACTTTATAATTTTAATTGTTAACTGTCCCTTTAAAACCAGCTGTAAACAGAGCCTTCGAATGCAATCGCTGCGTAAAACATATGCTGGTTAAGTTGGCGGTTCATGCTGCTGTGGCGACCCCAGATTAATTAGGGGGTTAAGGCTGATTTATACTTCTGCGTCAAACGCCGGCGTATGCTACTGCGCTGACGCATAGCCCTTCGCCGTGGCCGTTGTCGTCACTGACGTGCACCACTCAAAAAATGTAACTACACGTCGCAACGACGCGTAGCGTAAGCTCTGTGATTGGTCGGCTTGGTAGCGCTGACGAGAGCTGCGCGAATGGCGCGAGCAATTGTTTACAAGTGTGGAGTCCCGTGAAGGAGCTCCGGATGAAAAGTTTTGTTTTGTGTTTACCTCATAGTTAAAGTTGTTGCACGTCTGCCGGTTCCTGCCTCCAAATGAGCAAGTTTGAGCCACTTGAACATCCCGGAAGTGTTCAGGAAAAGCAAAAAAGCAGCGAAGAAACTCGACACAGAGGAACATTTACACCTCACTGCCAACTAGCGTTTTCAGAAGTGTTAATGCAGACCAACAGAGACAGCACGCAGAAGTATAATTACGCCCTATTCACACGGGGCGTCAGCATCAACGCTTCCCATTCACTTTGAATGGGTGACGTCAGGCGTTGCCGAACTGCATTGTGGATCCGTCGGCACCGCTTCAGAAGTGTTGCTCGCTGCAGAAGTTGGGACTAGCTCAACTTTTCAAGCGCCAACGGAAGCGTCAGCCAATCAGATCGCTGTATGCAAATACACCAGCTTAGACAGTGGCCTATTGCTGACTGGATTTCATTGGCTGACGCTTTTATGACGATCGCTTCAGCCCCAACTTCAGACACGCCTTCAGTCAAGCGTTGACGCTGAAGCCCCGTATGAATAGGGCGTAAATGCACAGCCACGCGCGTTGCATGCGCCATGGGTTACGCCGTTCACCTGACGCAGAAGTATAAATCAGGCTTTAAGCTGAAAAGAAAATGAAAGAATGAATTATCGGTGGGTTACATGTTTAATTATGGATAACTAACTACAGGATAGTTGAACTGTGATGGGCAAGTCCTGACATGTCTTTTTCTCTCACTTCTACCTATATCGCATAACTTTTCGAACTATCATTTATGAAAAGCTTCCTCCTAGCATGAACCCGTATATCCTTGAGGGAATATAAATCTAGATCTTTATATAAACTCTCTCTCTCTTTCTCGTTCAAAACATCAGTCATCATGTGTGGGGTTTGTTCTGGTTTTCAGGTCGTATTCCAGACAGTCTCAGAAACTGCGTCAACAAAGAGTTTTTTGTGACTACGGCGCCGTGGGGGGTGATGGAGCAGCAGGTTCATCCGGAGCTCAACGGCGGAGCCTACAGGTGATGAAAGACATCTGAAACATGCCATCTATTATTTTATTCTTCACCTGTCATATGCTAAGCATCATCTGTCATACACTAGTCTATCCATTTTTGAGTTTGTCATCTCAATCACATATTTTTGAGAAGCACTTCGTTCTTTCAGTCATTTTAAACAAATAGATATTTAATATAATTAACTTAAAAATAATTATTGTAATGTATGTGTGTGTTATTCATATGTATATTATAGTTATATACATACAGTCGAAGGCAAAATTATTTGGCTTCCAGTGAAAGTTTTATTCAAAAATTCACCCAAGTGATGTTTAATGGAGCAATACAATTTAGCAGTATTTCCTTTATTATTTTTTCTTCAGGAGAAAGTCTTGTCTTTAAGTTCGACCGGAATAAAAGCAGTTTTAAAATAATTAAAAATTTCATTTAACGTTTAATGTCAGGATGAATGTACAGTACAATGAAAAATAATAATAGTTTTAAATAACAGGCGCGTTGCTATTTTATTAATCTATAATAGATTTTTCATTAGACCAAAACTAACCCGGTCTAAACTCCGGCGCAGAGTTGCGCCTCGCTTACACACTGCTTAATACACACAAGAGAGCAATAGGCAAATATCTTTAAATATGAAAAAATGTAAACATTAAGGATATATATAGGATATAATAAGAATAGATATAGAATATAAATATTAAGGATTAAAATATTACAAAACATATTATTTTCTAGCCTACATAAATATGAAAAACACTGCTTTTATGTCTTCTTCAACTCGGGAGGCTTTTTCAGTTCATTCATAACAATTTGCTTTTGTATAATGTTATTATTATTAGCAGTATTATTTATTATATCCATATTTATATTTGTTTTATTAAAAACAAGCTTAGATTTGCCCACCTGTCAGGTTTTAGACCATATGGGGCATGGCATGTGTTTTAGAATATAACTCAGGTTTTTGAGCACATTTTGTTATTATTATTCATTTATTCGTTTGCTGGAAATTAGAACTGAATTTAGAAATAGTTTTGAAGCGAATATTTGCGCTTAACAAACAAAAGTATTTATTCATAGACTAATTGATGTCTGTGCGTAAAGGTTTCCCTATCCAAGAGCGAAAGTGAAAGTGATCCATTATCTCTCATTCTCACGCAGTAGATGCTCTGTTTAACAGTTTTCTGTTAAAAAACTGTTAACTGTTAACTGTTTGCTTGTGATTTCCCGTCCTTAAATTAGCAAAAACGCGTCCTGACACACCCTGAAAGCGTTTGCGCCCTGCGTTTTGCGCTCTGCGCATGGACCGTCAAAATAGAGCCCATTAACTCAAAATTGACTAAGTTAATTGAAACTCTGTGTTGAAGGTAATGAGTTAATTAATTACCTCATTATTTTAACTTAAATGGAGTAAGTTCACAGTACTCATATAGATTAGTTTTTTATCTCAAATAGTTTGTAGCAATTGGTTTCCTCAAACGGTTTGAGTTGCCATAACTTATTGGGTTTTACAGTACTCAGTTGGTTTGAGTTCTCTTTGTTTATTGGGTTTTACTGTGCTTAAATTGCTTGGTTTACTCAAATGGATTAAGTTCACAATACTCATTAGGAAATGGTTTGTTGCAATCGGTTAACTCTAACTCTTGAGTTAGCTGAACTTATTGGCTTTTACAGTGTATTTATCTGAATGTATTTTAATTACATTACAACATCGGTGCTGTAAAAACAACCTTGTTGTTACGTCCCAAAACCTAAAACTGGCTCTAATAATAACATCAAGGTTTAAACCAAACATATGAAAGACACAAATTGACGTCGCGTCAAAAAAAATTATTCTCATTAAATCTAATTTTCAAAAGAGACAACAAAAATATTAACAAATCATGCACTGTAAAAAAAAAAGATGGGTTCCACACAATGTCTTGATGTTGTTGCAAAAGATGTCGATTAAGTTAACCAAATTGTTGTTTTTTTTACAAATTTAAGTGGATTAAACATAAAACAATTAAGTTGTCCTCAAAAAACACCCACGAATTGTGTTGTTTCAGCTCATTTTTAATAAGTTTGAACAAGCAGCAAACATATTTTTTGAGTGTACTCTGTAAAAAGTGATTAGTTACTTAAAGTGAGTAAGCAATTGCTTTAAAAGCAACAAGTTGACTTTACAAAAATAATGTAAGGAAACCCATAGTAACTTGGAACTGTAAAGCTGACTTTATTTTTGTAATTATGCTTATTGTACTCACTAAATATAATATAAAAGCTGTTTACGTCCTCCGTGTATGAGATTTAAGGTTTGGGACTCTGCTGAAGTCTTTTCTGAAATGAAAGTTTCAGATTTGACGTCATTCGCTATGGTTTTTAATGACGCGCCACTCGCATTGACATGATAATCCGATCTCCTGCTTACACTGCAGATACAAGAACACAAATCTGATTCATATCGCATAAATTTCTTTGCTTACACGTACATGGGCCATATCCGATCTGTGCCACATGGGAGAAAAAAATCACTTGAACAGTGCAGTGCAAATGCGGCCTTAGTAGGCCCTTTTTTTTGTAAATGACTTACAATTGAGAAGGCATTCAGCAATTCAACAAGAGGCAATACACACAAGAAGTTATGCTTAATTATACAAATGAACTGTTAGTGCTAGGGTTAGGAGGATGTGTGTGTTTTTTATAGAGAGAGAGAGAGAGAGAGAGAGAGAGAGAGAGAGAGAGGGAAAGGGAGAGAGAGAGAGAGAGAGAGAGAGAGAGAGAGAGTGAGTGTTTCTACAGGTGGTTTGACAAGTCCACTCACCTGTGTGAAGCTCACTGCATAAATGCACATTGTTTTTTTTTTAAAGATAAGGCTTGATTGTAAGAAAGTGCCTGGTGCAAATGTGCAAAACTGGTGCAAGTGTTATTTACATTTAGACATTTACATTTAGTCATTTAGCAGACGCTTTTATCCAAAGTGACTTACAAATGAGGACAAGGAAGCAATTTACACAACTAAGAGCAACAATGAATAAGTACTAAAGGCAAGTTTCAGGTCTGTAAAGTCTAAGGGAAGTGTTAGTAGTTTTTTAGTTTTTTTTAGTTAGTAGTTTTTTTTTATTTAAAGTGTCAGAGCGATAAAAGAGAGTGTTTTCTACCCACTCACATGTGTGAGGAATACTATCGAAAACTACTCTAATAAACTACTAAATATCTAAAAAATAAATTGAAAGTTCAACTCAACTAAAACTAAACAAGCTAAACAAACTAAAGCTAATCTGAAATGGCGAATTTAAAAATAGTATCAAAATAAAAACTAACAAAAACTTGCGAAACTGTTATAACTTTGGTATCACCCGCTGTGACCCTTCTGAACGCCTCCCCAAACTAACCCCTCATTTAAATGCATGAACTCTCCAAACCACACATGCAAACAGAGCTTTCTCAGTCTGACTGCTTCTCTCGCTCAGCAGAGTCGCCCAGCCGCTCCCAGCCGTCTCTCCCGGCGGCCTGCAAGACAAAATGTATACCTAAACAATGACAGGTAAATATTGCTGAAAGTCCCCGAAGAGATCAAGACACTGTGGAGATGATTTTGATTATGAAGCCTTGAACAGTGGCATCTGAAACAGGATTTCACTTTGATTTTCACTTTGATTTTCTGATGATTTCACTTTGATTTTAAACATTTCTCATTTTCATGTGCTCAATATGACATGCTGTGATGTGAAATCTGAGGATTTATGGAAATGTTACATTAGGGCTGTTGTTTTTAGTTTATTATTATTATTATTATTATTATTATTATTATTATTATTAAATTCAAAATTATTAGCCCTCCTGTGATTTATTTATTTTTTTTTATAAATCACAAGTGATGTTTAACAGAGCAAGGCAAGGAATTTTTCATTATATTATATTATTCTATATTAAATTATTATATTATATTATATTATATTATATTATATTATATTATATTATATTATATTATATTATATTATGTTATATTATGTTATGTTATATTATGTTATGTTATGTTATGTTATATTATTATATTATATTATATTATATTATATTATGTTATGTTATATTATTATATTATATTATATTATATTATATTGTATTGTATTATATTGTATTGTATTGTATTGTATTATATTATATTATATTATATTATATTAAATTGTATTTTATTATATTATATTATACTTAATTATATTATATTATTTTATATTATATTATATTTTATTATATTATACTAAATTATATTATATTTTATTTTATTTTATAATATTTTTTTGTCTGGAGAAAGTCTTATTTCTTTTGGTTTGGCTGGAATTAAAGCATTTTTTATTTATTTATTTTTTTATAGATTTTTAAGGTCAATATTAATATTGTAAAATTCAGCCAGATAGTCCAATGACGGTGTCTACTGGTGGATGAAGGTTCACTGCGTGTTCGGCCTTTCCAGCGCTTAATACATGTTGTATTAGTTTAAATTTAAATCATATCTGACATGAGGTGGTTTAGAATTCTAATATATATTTATCTTTTGTTTAATCTGAGTCTTTTATAAAACATTAAGAAGATTGTTTCAATATATAATATAGATGAATGTTTGAACCTTCTGTCTTTACTCATAACTATTACATTTGTTCATTCGGGAGCTTATATCACTCAGAGGAATTGTCTCGGCCACTGGAGTCCCTCACGTTCACATTCTCGTTATTCTTGCCAACCACGCAGTGAACCTTCATCCACCAGTAGACACCGTCATCGGACTGACTGGCTGGAACTTACAATATCCCACTAAAGAATACATTTACAGAACAAACCATTGTTGTCCAATGACTTTCCTAATTAACCTGACTTGCTTAATTAACCTAATTAATTAACTTCAAAATGCACTTTAAGCTGAATATATTGCAAAATAACTAGTAAAACACTTTGTAAAGTCATCATGGAAATCAGTTATTAGAAATTACTGTTAAAATGTGTTGGATAATTATTAATTATGTGTTATTAAAAATGTACTGGAAAATATTCTCTGTTAAACAACACTTGGAAAATGTATATAAAGAATTAAGATTTCACCGGAGGATTAATAATAAAATAGATGATTTATAACTGCGACTACACTGTAAAAAATATCCGAAAATTAGCAGTTTTCCATATTTTGTTATTCATGTTTTTATTTTTTCCTATTTATATATGCTTTTGAATCCCATCATGAGATCTTGATCTTTCCTCTGACAACTTTTAACCTAAAAACAGTGGGAAAAAAGTGACTTTTATTAACATTTTTAATAGTTTAAAGCAGGGTGTGAATTACAGGGAGGTTTGGGGGGGTCTGACCCCATAGTTAACCCTCGATCCCCCTGAAGGATACCAAAACAATGTGTGTAGGAGGGGATCAACTCTTTAAACAGTGGAAAATAGCTCACATAGATCTGTATCTTAAATAAGAACATTAACAAAAAAAATTAAGAAATAAATACAATAAAAATATAGATTATAATGGTTCATACTGTTGTGAATGCATGATTACACCCAGCAGCATCATTATGCAGGAAAATACTCAGCCTGCGGTCTGAATCTAGAATGTGAACACCAGCAGATCTAGCCTACAACTAGATACCGTAAGTGTTCAAAAGGCACTTTTTGAAAAGACTTTGGAAAAGGTGAAATAACCCATCAGAGGTTACTGTATAGGTCAAAATCAGCTCATTATCCCTCAAAACAAGTTTGATAATGAGGTGTAATTGAATTAAATATATGTATTTAGTTCACTGAAGCATGCATATTTATTTTTACAAACTACTGAAATTAGGTGACCCCCCCCCCTCCCCATATTTAATGTATAATTAGCACCTGGTTTAATTTGATGTATTGGTGTTGTATGTTACGCTACAAAAACCTTGTAAAAAAACTGCCAGTACATTTTCTATGATTTTACAGACTTCTTTCTATTTATATTATTTCTTATACATTATATTTTTCCTTCTGGAGAAAGTCTTATTTCTTTTGGTTTTGCAGGAATAAAAACAGTTTTAATACATTTTTAAGGTCAATATTATTATTGTAAGATTCAGCCAGTTAGTCTAATGACAGTGTTCACGAACCTATAAACAAATGTAATAGTTAAGAGTAAAGACAAAAGGTCCAAACATTGATCTAAATTAGATATTAAAATAATCTTCTTAATGTTTTATGACTGGAGTCAGATAAAATGAAAGATAAATATCTAGAATCTGAACACCAGCAGATCTAGTCTACCGATAGATACTGTAAGTGTTCAAAAGGCACTTTTTGAAAAGACTTTGGAAAAGGTGAAATAACCCATCAGAGGTTACCATATACAGTAGGTCAAAATCAACTCATTATCCCTCAAAACAAGTTTGATAATGAGGTGTAATTGAATTAAATATATGTATTTAGTTCACTGAAGCATGCATATTTATTTTTACAAACTACTGAAATTAGGTGACCCCCCCCCCCCCATATTTAATGTATAATTAGCACCTGGTTTAATGTGATGTATTGGTGTTATATGTTACGCTACAAAAACCTTGTAACAAATTGCCAGTACATTTTCTATGATTTTACAGACTTCTTTCTATTTATATTATTTCTTATACATTATATTTTTCCTTCCGGAGAAAGTCTTATTTCTTTTGGTTTGGCAGGAATAAAAACAGTTTTTTTTTATACATTTTTAAACTCAATATTATTATTGTAAGATTCAGCCAGTTAGTCTAATGACAGTGTTCATGAACCTATAAACAAATGTAATAGTTAAGAGTAAAGACAAAAGGTCCAAACATTGATCTAAATTAGATATTAATATAGTCTTCTTAATGTTTTATGACTGGAGTCAGATAAAATGAAAGATAAATATCTAGAATGTGAACACCAGCAGATCTAGTCTACCGATAGATACTGTAAGTGCTCAAAAGGCACTTTTTGAAAAGACTTTGGAAAAGGTGAAATGACCCATCAGAGGTTACTGTATAGGTCAAAATCAGCTCATTATCCCTCAAAACAAGTTTGATAATGAGGTGTAATTGAATTAAATATATGTATTTAGTTCACTGAAGCATGCATATTTATTTTTACAAACTACTGAAATTAGGTGACCCCCCCCCCCATATTTAATGTATAATTAGCACCTGGTTTAATGTGATGTATTGGTGTTATATGTTACGCTACAAAAACCTTGTAACAAATTGCCAGTGACTTCTTTCTATTTATATTATTTCTTATACATTATATTTTTCCTTCCGGAGAAAGTCTTATTTCTTTTGGTTTGGCAGGAATAAAAACAGTTTTTTTTATACATTTTTAAGGTCAATATTATTATTGTATGATTCAGCCAGTTAGTCTAATGACAGTGTCCATGAACCTATGAACAAATGTAATAGTTAAGAGTAAAGACAAAAGGCCCAAACATTGATCTAAATTAGATAATAATATAATCTTCTTAATGTTTTATGACTGGAGTCAGATAAAATGAAAGATAAATATCTAGAATGTGAACACCAGCAGATCTAGTCTACCGATAGATACTGTAAGTGTTCAAAAGGCACTTTTCTTGAAAAAAAAATAGATGTTTTTAATCTACTTATAGTCTAAACTCGTACTGAAGTGCTTGTTCATGCTTTGGTTACATCACGGATTGATTACTGTAACTCGCTTCTCTCTGGTATTCCTGATAAATAACTACATAGAATACAGTTGATTCAGAATTCAGCAGCTAGGATAGTTACCTGCTCGCGTACTTCTGATCACATAACTCCAATTCTCTTTCACCTGCACTGGCTTCCTGTTCACTATCGTATACAATACAAAATCCTTCTCTTAACATACAAAGCTCTTCATAACCTGGCCCCTCACTATCTTTCTGATCTTCTTCAATTGTACACTCCTTCACGCTCACTGAGATCATCTTCTGCCGAACTGTTATCTGTCCCACACTTTAAGATGAAGTCATTTGGAGGCAGGGCTTTTAGTTGTACAGCACCAAAGTTATGGAATTCCCTGCCTTTGCACATTCGCCAGATGGACTCTATTTCCAATTTAAAATCTCAGATAAAGACGTTTTTGTTTTGTTTAGCTTTTAATGATTTGCTGGTTTAATTATGCTGATTTTTACTTCATTTTTACTGCTTGTATTTTTATGATGTACTTTGTAACGGTGGCCCTTTCTTAAACCCCAAGTAGGTAATATTTAACTTTTTGTTCGGGTGCCAGACAGAATAAATCCGTCAATATATTACAAATTTAACTTTAACCCAGATAGCAATAAGCCACCGACTACAAACTATACTAAACATAACACACAAAAATACACAAAAATTTTACACAAATTCACCAATTGAGTATGCATAGAAATATTTATTTTTCTATCACTGAAATATCACTACCAATAGATCGCTCAAAAGCACAATTGAAAATAAACAGCTTTATGAAAACATTATGATGAATTTATACCACACTCACAGAAGAATTTATCCACTGCAATCACAACCATAATC